GGGAGTGAGGGAGGGCAGTGTTAGTGGCGGTGACTGCGTTCTGTACTCTACTGGTCATTGAGGAGTCGGAGGGCTTTGAGCCCCGCGGTGTGCAGGGCTCCCAGGGTGCTTGTTTTATGACAGCAGGGACTCTGATTCCATTCGTTGCGCAGTTCCTCTCAGGAAGTGCTGGGGATGTTTAAACATAAAAGTCGTGTCAAAGAAATGCCCCCAACCCACACCACCCCACCCTCAGCTAACCTCCCATTGCTCAACTGAATATTAGCCGCCTTCTTTGCCAGGCTAGCCAACACAGCAAGCCTCCCCTGTTAATGTGAATCAAAACAAAGCATACTAACCTGCTATACAGCTCTGCGACTCTGCTGAGCCAGTTAATAATGTTGACATCAACTTCAGGCTATCCAGATCATAGCTTGCACCTCTGCAGGCTAAATGGACCGTCTGGCAAATATAGCTACTTCTGGCGGTGTCATCGCTGGATTTGAACCAGTAGCACACAGTTGTTTTCTCCAAGTCTGACATCTCCTGAAGCTACATAAAGACGGAGCGTTCTTGGAGCATTCGATCAGTTTGAATCACTGAGGAATGGATCATGAATAATGCCTCTGATTTTATCAGAGAGTAAATGTAATATCTGTCCTAATAAATCAAAAGAGCTGCAAGGATTATTTAAAAAAAACTATGTATGCTCAGACTTGAAGTGAATGGCGACCATTAATCTGAGTAATATGGCTTGTGTTAGATTCACTGCTCTATAGTTACTACTCTGAATATGTGGCAGTAAAAGAGTGATTGAAATGCAACACTGAATATGTGAGGGGCATGGATGGTGAGGAGGGTGGGGGCAGTGAAGGGCTGGCAGAGGCCTGCTGTGGTTACGAGCCCTATGAGAGTAAAGGATGGCTGCGTTCCAGGAACCCCCCCTTACAAACACATACACACACATTCAAATGTACTTGCACTGAAAAGCACACACAAACATACATCCATTTACAGTATGCGCCAATCAGTAAACTCCTGTTTGCTGATTTTCTCCCTCTGGAGCCACTGCTGCCTGTGACCTCCTTCCACTCCACATCTCCATTACTTATTTCCTCTCAGATCTCCATCGTTCTTGTTCTTCTCCTTCCAGCTGCATCATCTGTCTCTCCTTAAACAAGGCAAATATGTTACACACACATGCTAAATGATTTAACTACAAGGTGCACACCAACCTACACATACAGGACCAATATGAATCTGGTCACATGATCATGTGCTTGCATAAACATGCTGGGAAATCCTAAGCTGAGTTTACGAGGCAGAGGTTGAACTGTGCACCAAGCTGACAGGACAGCACCAGCCTCCATGATGAGGCCTGTTCCCCACCCTCCCCCTACAATTATTTCCCTGGACCCCATATGGGCATCCTGCCAGTGCTGCCCATCCTCCATCCTGATCCCCAACCACATTTACACTGCACTCCCAAGCTCAGTACCAGCAGTCTCTGCTGGCATGGAACTCTACCCATGGCTCGACCAAAGCTTCTGGAACAGTGTTTAACATTTCATTTAAATACACATTTTGCTATTCTTCCTTGCAGACTGATTCAAAATTTAATGAGCAATTAACACTAATGTACTCAACACCCAGAATACTACAAAAAATTAAAAAATACTAGCAAAATATCTGTGGTTTAATTTCTTTTGCTCCAGCAGTGGCACTAATAGCTTTCTGGGAATAAACAGAACTAAGTGTCTAAACTAAACACGATATCTAGCATGGCTAAACCGACAGGGAAAGACCAGAAGACCCACGGAAACTAGTGCAGCTTCCCCAAATGTGAATTCTTCACAAAATCACTTTTGTTTTAGTAAGAGCCATGTGTGGACCAGCATCAAAATTAAAACCAGCATCACCTCATCAATCCAAGACTGTTTAACAATGTGTGAAATTTTATGGATAGCACTTAGTAGTGTGATCAGAGGAAACCACTGCTGTTTAAGGCTGCAACTAGCAATTATTTTCATTATTGATTAACCTACTTATGAGTTTCTAGATTAATTGTTTGCAGAAAATTACAGCAAATCTTCACATTTGTGAAGCTGCTAGAAAAGTAATTCAAATGATTAGCAAAAGTTTCTGTAAAATTTTCTGTTAATCAACTTATTGATTAGTGGAGGAATCATTGCAGCTCAACAAAAAAGGTCTGGCAACCCTCATTCCAGCCTTACTGCTTGACTGATGGGAATTTTGGGAAGAAAAAACTACAAAGCAGTAAAATTGTTTACCTACAACATAAAACTAAACAAGTAAAACTACCATCTTGTCCCACTTTAAATAAAAAAAAAAAAAAGGCAAATGCTGGATTTAAGAAGATTTTAGAGGAAATTGCAACTGAACACTGGGCACTGGTTTCTGATTTTCGGGCGTTCAGGGGTTCTGATGGGCAGGAGCAGGCACTGGCCTGGTGCTACTAGTAGCTGTGTCAATGCCGGCTGGGTAGTAAGGGGGAGACCAGCTGCCCAGGGAGCGCCCATTACGAGATGGAGCCAGAGATAAGTGCTCTCCCAGGCCCCCTTTCACAGGCATAATTAGCACACTTCTTATCTGCTACTCAATTCACATTCACACCCGCCTGCCATGAATGGAACGTGAAAGAGAGGCAGAAATCAGGGGAACGAGAGAGGTAGAGGGGCAAGGCAGAAAGAGAGGAGGGAGGTGGAGAAGGCATGGTGGAAACCTGTTCCCAGACAAACCTTCAATTCAAAGAGAGAGACATGTGCGAGTTAATGCTGCGACCGCCTCGCTCTCCCCCTTTCTCTTTCTCCATCCTTCCAAGGAGTCTTTGAACTCCTTAACAAAAACAGTGGTTTGGGCATCAAACTGCAATTTGGTAAAACAAAGCTATCTTGGGGTATAATCATCCTAATCAGCAAGAAAAAAATAAAGCCTTTGCAGATATTTCCAGATTATTCCACCCTTGGTGATCTATGCCTCCCCCCATCTTCTTCATCAACCACAATTGTAGAAATCTTCCCAACTCTGCCTCCAACAGAAAAACCTTTAATAATAACTCCTTAGTGCTACATTTAAATTGCTTTTAATAAAGAGTTAAACTGGTGGTGTGGCTTCTCATTTTTTCCTAGTCCCAACACACAGAAGCGTGTATTGTGTGAGCTCCCTGCTCTCTGGGAGAAGATAACAAAGGGCCCCCATCGCCTTACTGAGCCGAGCAAATACAAACAGGTTTGTTTGGTATTGAAACAGTGTCGGCTGTTAAACGCCAAACCCATAACAAAGGAGACGTGTCATTATGTTGATAAATCACCGCATTGATGCACTGAGGTGAGTTTTGTTACATGTTGGACAGTTATCTGCTTCTTTGCCTTCAGATGTATGAATATCATGATGTTATATGCATTTAGTTTTGAGTGTTTTATCATTTGTGTGTGTGTGTATTAAGAGTTTAGGTGCAGGATCATTGTGCTCTTGCGCTATATTTTGCAGGACATTCATCAGCTCTGTGTGTGTGTGTGTGTGTGTGTGTGTGTGTGTAGCAATAATGTATGCAGGTTTGGAATTTCAGGTTTGGATTTATGGCACATCAATACTTCTCTAAGAGCTACTTCACAAAGTAAGATCTCATCTAATGATTAACAGCATTAAAATGTGTTGCTTTTTAAACAACAGTAGGAAACTGAAATCCTCATTTGATTTTCACGGACGATTTTTTGGATGCTGAACAAAGATCACGTTTGATGGTTTATTAGGCTTCAATAGTGAAAAAAAAGAAAGATGAAAGAATGCATGTTGTTATGGTTTGCAACAGAATCCCCTGAGTTGTGCATCAGACCTTTCTCCTTCGTGTTTTAATGCAGGTGTTTATTGTGTGTTTCGGTACCTGGCTCTTGGACGCGGCCACCTTAGCGAACAGGGCTTGGGACACTTTGGCCCTCTTCATCTCCTGCTGGATCTCATCGTAAATGGTGGAGTTGATGTTGAGGATGCAGCTTTCTGTCTTGCCATTCCACTCGCTAGGCAGAGGCGATGGTTTTACCTGTTAATGAGTGAAAATGAAGAAAACGACACAGTTCTAATACTTTGTCTGACATTTAATTCTTCTTTGCATTTGATAGAGTTTGACTGTGTGAACAAACTGGGTCACTGTCATGTGCATGAATATTTTTTAACATTACCACAGTTTTGTGACACTTGATCTACTAAATACAAAGTATCTGTTTGTGTTGTGTAACTGAGCAACAAAACAGAAACAAAAGCTTTATCTTTGACGACATTTGGAACAAAAATTGATTAAAATGCAAATATTCAAAGATAAATCCATTTGTTGCTCATTTTAATGTTTCCTACATTGCAAACATGTAAGTAGTGAAATAGCCTTGAGTCACATTTTGGGACACAATGAGCTCTACAGTGTGTATTATCTATAAAAATGTCAGAACGGTGGTGATAGAGGGGTGAGGGGTGGAGTTTCTGCTCACAGGGGAAATGCCCACGGGGATTCTGGGATTCCAGTCCTCTGGCCTTACACTGTTACAGTCTTCCCTCCGGGGCTGCAGTGTCAGGAACACAACACAACCATATTTGTTCAGGCTTAAATGAGGAAAAATAAAGTGAATCTGGCTACACACAAGCATGTACACACACTCATGCATGCACCCACTTCACACACACAGTGGAGTGTAGATTACACCCACGCACAGCACCAGTGTTACTTTGCTCCAAAACACTTGGATATGTTGTTATTATTTTTTATGTCAAGCTGGTGATTAAAAAATAAATGCAAGTCAAGTGAAATCAAATCATCTTCATTCAGCAGCTTGTTGCATCTTGACAAAAATCCTTTAACAAGGTAACAAGTATCCTAATAAAAGCATTACCCAAGAACCATTAGCATATGAATCATTCCATATGAGCCCTTTTGAAAGGAGGCAGCGACAGGGTTGGATATGAGCACATGGCATTCAAATAAACCATAATAACACCAATAGCAACTAACTCAGGATCAAAATGTGATCAAAATACATATATCTTCAAGTGTTTGTCTAGACACCTAATACGAGCCCCTTTATGTCTTAAAAACAATCACATAATCCTAAAATTTGTGGTGAAACTGGAATGTTGGACCGCTTCTGGCCTTTGCATCCTGTTTTACAACAGCGCAACATGGGCTCCTTAGTCTGAGCGGCTGGCTACTGTGTCATGCTAACCATTAAGGCCAGGACGTGCGCTAACTGGTTCTGGGGGAGCTCAGCCTACCCAGTGGCACATGTGAGTGAAACATACCTCTGCATCCTGTTTTTATGAGGCCAATAAAAACCCTCCTCTGTTTCTGGCTCAACTGCCACCCTGGCTGATTTATGTGCTTAAATTCACACGGCCCTGCTCCATAGGAGAAGCTGGCAGATGGCCAGGTGTACGAGTTTGCAAATGTGTGTATTTGTGAGAATTGCCTTGTGTAGAAACAGGTCTATGTGATAAATGTCAATGAGTTTCAGTCAAACAGGTGAAGTATATCAGGCCTCAAAACATTGTGCTGATGTGCCAACAGTATACTGAGTGATGTGGAAATAAAAACCACAAAGAACAGGCTTTGAGTTTGGGGTCATGTTTGTAATAGTTTCAGATTATATGCCATGCAGTAGTCATTGTGTTCATTGTTCAAAAGACAAATCTATTTCTGTTTTGTAATCTCTACATCTCTGTAAAGTGGCCTCAGATATGCTAAAAGACCCTTTTTACATTCATTCTGAAAGAAAGGGGATTACTTATTTCTAATTTATCTGATGTGATTACTGAAAATCTAAAAGACCACACTTCCGAATCCCTATCTCTGCTTCTGGGATTTTAATAAAAACATGGACAGCAGGTTATTCGGCCAAACAAAACACTTTTTCCCACTTGGTCACTCTGAAACTCAGCCGTGCACTGACACAACCTCTGATTATATAGATGAGCTGTGAACTGCAAAGAGGCTCTGCTTATATTCAGCACCGCTGCTTCAGAATGGGACAATACTTTCTTTTCAGTTTTATAAAGACAGCAATTGCGGTCTTGCTGAGCAATTTAAGGGGGGGCTCCACTGTGGAGTTAGGTGGACCTGTGCTTCTCTCTTTCTTTCCACTTCACCTAAATCTTCAAATCTTCACTGAGGGCCAGACAGAGAAGGCCTGTGTCTGCCACGCTCACCTTCCAAATGCAGCTGACCGCACTTCAGATAGACTTCAGTCGAAGAAAGTCACCACATACCTTTCAAATGAGGGACCCTGATTTGAAGGTATGAAGTTGTTCTGTAGTACACAGCGAATTTAAAAGAGGGACTGACTAAATGATGTTTGATCTTTTCACAGAGCTTGTCATCACTGAGCTTTATTTTTGTAATGGGAGGGCTGTTAATGCTGCCTAATGCATGGTAAAAGGTCAAAATTAGCACAAAAAATTATCCATCATTTGTGCACCATTCTCACCTGTGTGGTGAGGGTGGGAATGATGTAGAACTCATTTACATGCAGGGAGAATGTAAAGCATGTTCTCTTGTGGGCACAGTGACAGAATGAATTGGCATTTATTTATTCCTCATGTTTCCACACAGTTTGCAGCCTGAGAGAATGGAGGGTAAAGTCAGACATGTAGCAAAACTATAAGGTGGTGCTTGTGTGCATACGTGCTTCGTCACACATAAACAGAGTTTGTGAGTGTCTATGTTTGTACAGTATAAACATGTAACCCTGCCCTTTTCACACCAATATTTTTATTAAGGAACAGAATGGAACAACATTTTGTTTGGTCTCTAGCAGTATGCAGCACCTACTGTATGCAACACAGGTTATGTGGCTAGGTTTGTTCCACACGTCTAGCTGAAATCCATGGCACCACCACAAAGGTGAACAGTAAACTCCGGATTCATAAAATCACTCCAATCTGCCATACCTGTTCTCAAAACTGGCTATATATGAGCACATGGCCAGCTCAGCTGTGCACATCCATTCACATACACTGACCTATAGCCATTGTTGTTCACTTGCATGCTTTCAAACCATGACTTCACTTTCGCTCCTTGCTCAAGAAAGAAATATTAAATATTAAAATATTTTGCTCTCTTTTCAGCCACTCAAACTTCAGATAACTATTAGCTTTATTTCACAATATTATGATAAAAAGTTGTGTCTGAATGGGGAAATTACCTCATTAGCCTTTTATAGGCAGAGCTATCAGCAGCATTTTTCATAGCACAAGTTAGCTGGCTGACCAACTTGAACGGGTAATAAGGTTGTGCACTGGAGGACTTTGAGGAAGTGGTTTATTTAATAACAATATAGCAATAAATGTAGGTGCTTCGTATCTAGTAAACTTACTGGGTTCCTGTTCCCAAGCCCTGGATTTGCTTTGTTTCATCCTCAAAGCATGCAGAGAAAGAAATAAAATCCCTGTTACCTGCACGGGTCGGCTGGGTGGGGTGCTGATGAGTGGAGTGGAGCCCATTGCAGAGGCGGCCGTCAGGCTGCGCTCCCTCTCCTCCTGATAGATGCGGTCGCGCTCGGCCTCCGGCAGCTGCAAAAAGTTCTGCATGGCACGCAGATTGACCAGCAGTGACTGGGACGCTGTTTTAGGGTCTTCCTCTTTGCGCAGAATCTCAGACAGTAAGCCCTACATGATGGGGCAGCAGGAGAGAGGGAGAAAGAAAAGAAGATCAGTGAGATGGAAACATGGTGGAGCAGCAGAAGGAGAATAACAGAACAACAAAGAATTGAGGAAGAGAAGGGCCAGAGTTCCCAGAGGGTCAATGGGGGGCAAGCAACAAGGAGAGTAACCAGTCGCATTAGAGGTTTCTTAAATAAGACGGCAAAACTCTAATGACAACAGAGATGTGCTTACACCCAGTTAAAGTGTGAACTGTCTTTTAGACCAGTTTTTTACTCCACTGTCGCATGCTCTTCCTGTGCATCTGCTTTTCTTTTGAGTCACCTGATTATGATGGTGTCTCCACATCCCTCCGACTCAGCTTTCTCTGCAGTCAGCAGTCACTCTCAACCTCCCATCATTAATGTTGTAAAATCATCTCAATGAAAACTTTCCTCCTCCTCCATATACTCAAGTCTCTCTACAGAGCTTTTGTCTTCAAGTAAAAAAATATCACTGTTCTGCTACTTCATAAGGTAGTACTTCATCACTGATCATTCTTGGATGACAAAACTACTTCACTGAAACTTGTGTGGCCTTTGAACTCACTACACTTGGTGGCACATAATTTTGCAGATCTTGGGCAGATTCTTAGAGGTGTATGTTGCGCCGCAGCGACTCGTCTGAAATGTGAAAGTCTTGTACGGCGGGCAATCAGTGTATCCTCTGTTTACTTTTCAATAGCGCTCAATTCCATCATTATGAGGCTGCGATGACTCCATTATCAGAGGCGTGTGATTGGGCCTTTTCATCAGCTCTTGGCCACACACTGTGCAAACCATCGCTCCGCTTCTCTCACTATCAATAGGTGTGATTTGGTAATAAAACAAGGTGATGGAGAAAACATGCTCGTATTTTAATTTAAAAAAAATTTTTTTTCAAGAATGC